CAATGATTTTGTATCACTAGGATGCCCGGGGCGGGGATAGGTAACGGGCACCCCGCCCTGCCCCGTTAATTTTTTTTTAGAATTCAATACTTTAAATGAAAAATTTCACAAAATTTCATTAGTTCTAATAGAAAATAACAACTAAAATTATTTTTTTAAATTTAATGAATATGGGCAATAAAAATAAATGATCAAAAACAAAAAAAAAAAAATTTAAACCCCGCCCCGCCCTAAACGGGTAACGGGGCGGGGACAGGGTGGGCAATTTCTTAGCGGGGAAGGCCCCCCCCCTCCTCCCCGTTGCCATCTCTAGTATTTAGGAGGCAAGAGGTGAATCATACTGACAGATAATTCTCTTTCCCAGAATGTGTTCTAGATAGAATACATAGCGCATCACCTAACGCTAATATGAATTGTATTAAAATTGTTGTTGAAATTGTAGCGAGATAGACCTCCGCGTTCTCCTTGACGTATAGGGTGTTCCAGCTATTCCGATCAGTGAATGTTACCTGCAAAATAAGGTTGGGGCTTTCTCCCCCATTATACCTCCAGCATGAGAATCAATAGTTGGTTTAGGAAAGTAGGAAGATAGTATAATTAGAATTCAAACAATTCAGATTTTTAAGAGAGTCATACATTTCTCACCTTAGGGGTATTTATAAGCACTTGATTTAACGCACTCGTTCAGCAGTTAATGGCGGCACGTGTCCCACGTAAATCTTCACACTGCCCCCATGTTCTGATGGGATGACCCACCCTCCTCAAGCGATTGGTTGTGCCCACGTTTGCCTTTGAGCAGTTTCCTTCAAGTTCATTGTCATTTGTATGGTTAAGTGTAGTGTGGCCTCATAGTGATAAACGACTTATGTAAACGTAGAGAGCCTCATGGTGGTAGGTGGCCTTATAGTGGTAGACGGTTTATTTGAATGTAGAGGGTCTCATGGTAAGCAGCCTCATGGTAGTCGACGACCTCATAATGGTAGACGGCCTATGTGAACGTAGAAGGCCTCATGGGGGTCAACGACCTCATAATGGTAGATGGCCTATGTGAACAAAGAGGGCCTCATGATGGTAGGCTACCTCATGGGGGTCGACGACCTCATGCTGGTTGTCGGCCTTATAGTGGTTGACGATATATGTGAACGTAGAGGGTCTCATAGTGGTAGACAACCTGTAGAGGTAGAGGGTCTATCATGTGGTGCTCTATGTGAAGTGCATATCAAGTAGTTCTCACCTCATTGACCATTGTGGATAATTATTAATGTCATCCTTTATCATTAGCTACTCTATCCCTTGTCGATGTTTATCGACAAGGGGTAGCATCTTCACTTTTTCCTTGTTGGTTAAAGCTTTTTTTTTTTTTTTCATTTATTATGTATAAAACCATCATTACCTCTTCGTCTAGCGAAAGCACGAGCGAAGGGGCAAGTCAATCGACCGACCTATCCTTAGATGGGCCGATCGAAGTTTCCCAATCGACTAGCAAGCTGTCGACAGTCGACCATGGCTACTGTCGACCATCGACCAGTCAGGGGCTGGTCGCGACTCGTTGGGTCTCCTCTTCGCGTCGTTGGACTCCTCCATTTGGCCGAACCCCACACTTTTCAATCGAATCTCCCAAAAACATATATTGGCTCAGCCAAATCTTTAGACCAAAATCTTGAAATCGAACGGGATTCGACAAGTGAGTTAGTAGTTCTTGAGATTTCAAAGTGCTATATAGTCTTTATAATTCTCCATCTAAATTGGAAAAGTCACTTAGAAAATATGAGCGTGTGTACCACTATGTTTATAGAGCCCCTATGCCGAAAGATTCTTTTTTCCTTTATATCTATCTTGTAGTATTGGTGTCGCTTTCCAATGTATGAGAATTTATATGTCCATCCTTGCACGACTCTTTCTATTTGATCGTAATAGCTAGTAGGCATGACAACCAGCGAGTGGGCTCCTGGTTTCACAGGCGTAAGTTGAATGCCACGCGGTTCACCCACGTGCGTTGGTGCCAAGCCCAGTTGTAATTTTACCTTTTGCATTTCATTTGTCGATCTTGGATCAGTTTTATTGGTATTGATATCTTTATCGAACAGTAGGACTCAAGGTCTAATTATTTGGGGCCTCGACCAATTTATGGTTTTAAAGGCTCCCTACCTCGACCTAAGAACTCAGTCGCGTTTGTTACAAATCTATTGGTTTTGTTGCTTTCAGCCTAACCTCTTGGGCTATGTCAAATGCGGAGCATGATTTCAGGCCTTAACCAAGTTTTGGTTTTTAAGGTTCTTTCTCAGACTTTAGAGTGATTTCGAGCTAACTAATCCTTTTTTGTCTTTGTTGCTCGTCGCTGTATCTCAAACGGTCTTGGGTAGTTGAATGCAGGGTCTAATGATTTTGATCTTTAACAATTTTTGGTTTTGAAAACTCACCACCAGCCCTTAGAGCAATTTTGAGCTAACCAATTTCTTGATTTTGTTGCTCACCGCTATGTGTTGAGCGATCTTCGAGGCAGTATGGGGAGATTTGTAGTCTTCGCTTCAACCAATCATAAATCAAGATCTTGTAATAATATTTAATTTGCCAAGATTTGGGGACTCAATAAGTGCTTCAAGACGTCCCAGCTAGGCAGATCCTTCCTTAGCGCCTCATCATCTGCCGCCATCCAAGCTTCTCATTAAACAATTTCAATAAAGTGTGTCATAGTAGACATTACATCACGAATACTAGTCAAATATCCTCACTACTATATTTTCAAGAGATTATTACATCAGAAAAGAAAATTAAATCCCCTAGCAACTACATTTACAAGAAAGCATCATGCGACTAGAAATCCCTGCACATTGGTCTCCTAATAATGCTTCTTGAGATGCTCAGTGTTCCACGGCCTGCTTAGTGGTTTTCCTTTCAAGTCCTTTTAGGCTGTAATCTCACTTTCCAAGGTTTTGGATCACCTCATACGATCCTTTCCAATTCCCCCTCCCCCCGCTAAATTCACGCTTTCCTGCCACCAAAATGTTTTGTGTAGTATCGAGGGGCTCAATTCACCCCCTTGGAGGCTCAAGGTCCAACATCATAACTGGTGGAGATCCCTTCATCCGTATACTGTTAATATAACACTTTCTCAAAAACTGTTGATCACCCCTCACACACTCCACACCACGACTGGTTGGGAATTTCATTACTTGGTGGTAAGTGGAGGGAATAGCCCCAGCAGCATTCAGTAGGGGTCGACCGTAGATTGCATTATACGCCATGGGAGTCTTGACAACCAAAAAGTTCGTCAAGATCACCAAGCTTGTAGGGTAAGTACCCAATGTCACTGGTAGTTCCACAACTCCCTCTGGTATCACAGTAGCCGAATCCTTAGAGGGGGGAGGATATTGCTTTCACCTTTTCCAACGAAATTTTCAATCCCATAAATACTTCCCATGTGAGAACATTTGCTGCACTACCGCAATCAACCAACACCCTCTTGACATCGTAGTCCGCAATATCGCTGACTATCACCAAGACATCATCATGGGGGGTTACCAAGCCTATTAAATCTTTCTTACCAACTGTGCGTACATAGCACTTTAGAGCCGAGTCCCCACCGCTGCGATCCCTCCAATAATCACATTTATAACACCGACCCTAGGCGGTGGTCGATTATCAATCTTCTGCTTGCCTCAATCATTCTTTGCGTACTTAGTCAAAAAACCATGCTTCAAGAGGCGCTCGATCTCCTCTTTCAAATGGATGCATTCTTCCTCGTCATGCTCTTGATCTTTATGAAAATGGCTTACTTGTTGTTGTCTCTTTTACTGGCAAACACCGCCATCGGTCTCGGCCAGTCGAGCTCTTTTAGGTCTCGAATTTCCATCAATATCTTGGCCAGCGCCATATTTAAAGGGGTTAAGGCTTTGACCTCCTCTCGCCTCTGCCTAATCGACCGATCCTAAGGGCACCCCATGTTTATGCGCTCATTCCTCGGCTTGTCTTTATCAACGGGTTTTCGCTCATCACCTATCTTTCGCTTGTGACTTTCTGCCTCCCATCCTTCTATGAGAT